CACTTATCACTACTCACCCCGCTCGATGCAATGGGCAGTGCGGTCCTGATCATCCTGCGCGACGACCCATGCAGTATGGAATTTTTTTTTTGGTTGTGTATGAATTTGGGTTTGATGGACGAGTACTGCCAGCTGTCCAGCCACTAAGCAGGAGAACAATTAGGGTTCTTGTCCAAAGCCTTTAGTTCTGACAAGAACCTGACCGCAAGGCAGCGGATGAAGAGTAGTAGAGGCCCATTTACTTGGTCAATTACTCCTCTACCATTTTACCGACTGAGACGCTAACTCGAGTCGAACCCCAAACCTGGAGGATCAGGAAACTGAACTTCGTCTGACGTCTACTCATTGACCTTACAGGCATTAGGTCTCCTGGCTTAACAAAAGCCATCCGGTATAGCTCGTTGGGTCAGAGAGATGCACAAGCCATCACCACGTCAAGGCACACTCTCGTCTTGAACACCGATAACTGAAAACTTCTAGCCGATGGATATCTTCTACTGTTAAAATCAAGGTCTGACACCCAGAAATTAAAACTGAACGAACGCTAACACAATATACACAACCTCTCCGCTTCAGTGAAACGTCGCGTTTACGCCAAAGGTGTTTCAGCCCTGCGTATATTGTCCGAACGTTGGAAATGCGGGTGGTTATCTCCTTTGCTACACTACTGTCATTGTTCACGAAACTACCTAAATGGGAAAAGCAGTTACTATAACTGATTCTTGGCTATTTAGTTTCAAGGTGGGACTGGTCGACACCCAGTCCTGCAGCATCTCTTTGCACTTTGGAGGTGCAACGCACATAACGAACATGGTAACAAAACTGCAGTCTATAATGACTGTTTTGATCGTCCTCCGTACATTCGAACAGACAGACGATGTCACCAACGTACAGATTTTCTCCAGCTGCCCAAATAAAAACCTACGTTTTAGAACCCACTTAGTAAGTTCTCCAGTATTTCGTATACGGTGAAGTTAAACAAGAATGGCAAAAGAGAACACACTTGGCGAACGCCGCTGCTGGTGATGACCGGCCTACTTAGTTCATTTTAAACCCTCACTCGACCACAGTTGTCAATACAGTGACCTGAGTGAGTTAACGTACTTCTGAGTCATTCCTTTTAGAGGAAGGGAACCTATTGGATCTTCGTGATCAGCTGAATCGAAGGCTCCTTTCACGTCAAGGAGCACTGCGATCTATGGTCAACCGTGGGTGTGACAGCTTAAGGACCTGACGCAACGTAAAAAAATTGATCAATACATCCACGTCCAAGCCGGAATTCAGCTTGATGTTCTCGGATCTTGGTCTCTCTTATATGAGTCAGACATCGGAGAAGGACGGAGAACGACACTTTGGTCCAGTTTGAGGTCCAATTTCTCCCACAGTGGCTTCCGCGATCGTTCCGAGGTCCCTTCTTGAACATTTGAACGATCAGTGAGCAAAACGTAGAATCCCCTAGGTAGGGATTTCGGATGAATCGAGTTTCCCAACTTGCGCTTTAAAATTAAACATCAAGGTTGCAACTAAGCTGGATTGGGTCTGTATGTTTATCGTAAAACTCTTGATTTTATGGGTTGGGACTATAATTGGTTGGAGCCGAACAATCATGGTCAATAAGCCCAATCAACTATCAACATAAGGCTTCAATCTGCCAAACAACTTGAACCATCTGTCAATAAAGTATTGTACCATGGTTTAGAAACAAAAGTTTCTCTCGATGTATACTTCCCTATCAAATTTTCATAGAAGTCAACCTTTGTATGCCTAAACACTTGATTGTATTGAGTAAAATTGTCAACCCCGCTCCTCAAGATCTGTCCGAGAACTGCGAACGCTAACGTGGTTACGGTAGCGCAGTAACTCAAGTTACGATCACTATCAAGTGTCCAGGTATGTGCCCTCGAGAAGTAACGTATACAGAAGTCGGTGTGGATCACGCGGCCATGGAACACGATAACCTTATGTGCGAGGCACGATTAATATCCCTAGGTCACCTAGGTTCACTGGTTATAATTTGGGGTTCGTGTTCAGCCCCAGGGGAAGTGACACCTGGTGATCTATGAATCATGCAATTTAGCTGAGTATTATTAACAATGGTACACGAACAACACCACACTTTCGACTTTATGGGGTATCTTCGTTTATTTTACTGTACTTGGGTAACGCCGTTCCGATTTGTCGCTTCTCTTTTCTTGACCAGTTTAGTTTAAATAGACGGGGAGAAACAAAACCGGAGGGCGAGTGCTGGGGTTGATGGTTTACCGAACTAAATTTGAAACACGTTATGCACAACTAAACATTCCAGTTGATTATCGAAGGTTGACAGCAAAAATGTGGCATTCCATCTAGAAGCGTACAACAAGAGGTTCACGCGAGGGAGAGGGGCATATGTAATGGCTGGTAACCCAGTGGCATTAATTACACCAACCAACTAGTCTGTAGATAGTTCAAATTACCGCTTCACATTAGTACTAAACTCGGGGTAACGCAACACTTACTGACGATCAGCTGCTGGCGAAGCTTGGTGATTATATTGAAACACGAGGAGCATCTGCAACGATCAGCGACACTTTCTAACAAGAAGAGTCGGTTTTATCTAGCTGTCTTTTTCCAAAAACCCTCAAATGAGTCCAATGCTTATTAAAAGAACTTGATGTCCTCAAGCAGTTCGAACAGCAAAACACTGAAAATCATTGGTGAAAGCTCTTCTTCAGACTCAGTATTCATTAAATAACGTTTCGGTTGCACCAGAAGTATTTACAACTGTCCTTCCTCAGTGATGGAGCTTGTAGGTGACTACCCGTTTATAAAAAAACAGATGGGTCAATGATCAGCCATTTTCGTGTTTCATAACTCGGCAGCACCATTTGTTTTTTATTTTTCTGGCTGTTCCTTGAAACCACTAGGAAGCGTACCACCGTAATGTCTTGCATGTGGTCATAAAGTCATTGAGTGAAAATAGAGGTTTTCGTCTCTACAGAAATCTGGTTCTGGATGATAACCAAGAGTTTCCATCTTTCTCATCATATATGTACTTTCAGTTGGAAGTAATAGAAAATATTCGGACGTTTCACCGCTCTGTTGTGCTTTACATTATTCAGTATACAACTGTTCACTCTTCGTACACAGGTTGTCGTGAATGATCCGAACCAATTGGAGGCGATCAGGCAACGAGAGCTCGATATAACAAAGGAGCGCATCCAGAAGATCTTAGCCGCTGGTGCGAATGTGGTGTTAACAACCGGTGGAATCGACGATTTGTGCATGAAGTATTTTGTGGAAGCTAATGCTATGGCTGTTCGCCGATGTAAGAAAAGCGATTTGAAGAATATGGCCAAAGCGACTGGCGGTCAGTTGATCGTCAGCATGTCCGACATGGAGGGGGAGGAAGTGTTTGATACTTCGAAATTGGGCCAGGTTTGTCCTCTAGGATGATATTTTTTCGAATGAATAAACTATTGATACAAATACCCCAGGATTGGTGGCGTTCCTTATTACTGATATTTCATCGATTTCAGTTGCTCGCAAAAGTCAGGAGGCGTCATTTTCTTTCTTTATTACACACGTTTGTGTGATGAACAGCGGACGAGGTAAACCCCACAGTCACGAAGACCTGCTGTTTAGTGATAGAAACCGAGACTTGAAGTGGCGAACAATCTAAGGCCCCACTAGGTTAGGCGGGGCATTGAACCAAACGACAGCAAAGCGGCCTACCACCAACGTTGGGTGATGGTGGCAGGGATCAAACCTAGGACCATAGGGTTCAAAGCATATATGTGACAGCTACTAAACCACTACTCCATCACCACCACCCCCCCAAAGTCTCTTGTATTCTTGCTTAGAGTCCCGGAACACCCGTTATCCTTTAGCAAAACAGCAATAGCGACATCTGTGATGCTGCTAGGTGCATTTGAAGCCACCATATTAGTCATCTTCAGTCTTCCAAATAGATTCGTCTTTTAATCTTCCCTTGTCCTTGTTTCGTTTGTGTATATGACTAACGTTTCCTGCACACTATCTCGCTGTACAAAATGGCGGTGATGTTAATTAAGCCCAACGGTGACGAGCAACATAATCACATTATCACCCATCGAAACAAGAAAAGTTATGTTTACTTTCAGTTCGTTCTGTATAACCATCTCCGGTTTCCGCTATTATCTTTGGTCTACACAGCTTGTCAAACAATAAAGGAAAGTTGCGCCAAAGACTGAATAGATGCAGTTTATAAACCAAAAGCGTTTAGGGAAAATAACATAGACGGACTAAAATTGAACGTATTCCATTGTTGGGGTGTTTTCGTCGTACTCTTGTTGATTCATGCTTTGTTTTGATTTTCAGGCAGCGGAAGTCTCCCAAGAACGTATCTGTGACGATGAGCTCATCATACTACGTGGTCCCAAAGTACATCCCTCGGCAAGCATCATTTTGCGTGGTGCCAATGACTTTTATGTAGACGAAATGGAGCGATCCCTCCATGATGCTATTCTTGTGAGTGCATTCTCCCCTGTTTTCATCGACGATTTTTCTTCACTTTTTTAGTTTTAAGATTTAACATATTGCTTTATACCCCCCGTTAGAAGCATGAGTTGATCACACCGGTATCAATCGATGAGCAACCTGGAAGTTTTTCCCTAAAACGTAGCACACTCGCCCCGTGATGCATATGTGACAAGCCACTCAGGAAACTAGGATTCTTCGAGTGAACAGAACACTAAAGGTGGAGCAATGATTTCAGGTTCTTTCATTTCATGACAGAGTCCAACAAAGTGTGGATGTATATGTAAATATCTAGCCCTGTTAGATCACTTTGAAAATGCAGCACAATCATGTACATGATCCATTAGATATCTGTCAGTCAACAGTAGACCCATATGCATATATTGGGAGTTATGAATCACGTATACTTTTCTATAGTGCTAGGTACTGTTGGCGACTCGGTTTTCCAATTCGGATTGTTCATATTCAGCTGTATTGATCTTTATTTGTAACTGACTAGGACACGTGTGAAAGGACGAGCTCATTGTCTTCTCGATTCTATTTTTTCAGTACATTGCTCGTATTTACATTAATCGGTCACGATAAATGGTGCTTGTTTACGTCCTTTTCAACCATCTATCTTAAACCAATGGTACGGCTTCCAATTTTTGTACTTGCAATCAATTACTAGGTCGTGAAACGTGTGTTGGAAAGCAAAGAAATCGTTCCCGGCGCGGGAGCATGCGAAGCAGCCATTTCGATTTTCTTGGAAAACTACGCTGTAACCTTGAGCTCCCGCGAACAGTTGGCCGTCGCCGAGTTCGCCCGGGCCATGCTGTCTATTCCCAAACAACTAGCAGTCAATGCTGGTCTCGACTCAACTGAACTGGTCGCTCGTCTTCGGTCATGTCATAACTCAAGTCAATGCAAGAAGGAACAAGCCTATTATAAGTGGTAAGTCTTCAATTGCAAGAACTGTTGCGCAGTCAGTTTAATTACCCTCTTCAAGCGTCATTGTTCTACGTTTCACTTGCACTACCATGGATCGTACTTAAATTTTTTGTTTTTATTATTGTTTTGTTTACTAGATAGAAATCATAAGCGTGGATTGTGTATCATCTAGTAGCTATTCATCTGTGCTGCCCAATATCACCAGTTTGTCGTGCTTAAGCCACCTAAATAGTTTCACGGTTTCGCTTTGTTCACTGTTAGTCCTTTGCAGATATCTGCCGTATATCACTTCCTTCCATTGATGGTTGTTGTTATTGTAATGTGAGAAATGCATTGTTATTGAAATTTTGCGTGGCAAAGTCTTAGCCTACAGTGTGTCAATGGCTATTTTTATGCAGCGGATTTGGGTTTCACTTTAATTTGGCTTTTTTACTACACATTTTTGTGTGTAAAGAACAGCAGGCGGGGCGAACCCCATAATCGAGTAGATCTGCTATCTAGTGATGGAGACCGGCAACCTAACTTCCGGGACTTGGAGTGGTGAACCATACAAGGCCCCACTAGGTTAGGCCAAAACCAAAATATACGGTTTCTTTTCAGGTAAAAACCATCTTCCCTCTATGTTTATCATATAAGTAACCCAAAAGCCAGATAATTCAGGGTCCCATGTTTTCCTATAATCTGTTGGACGATGACTAGCAATAATTAAAATGCCATTTGATCTTGATTTTCTCCCAACTCTTCATCCCCACTACTTCCCCACATACTTCATTTCGTTGCACTTGATTTTCCCAGGTACGGTCTTGATCTGGACAACCAGCGTGTGATGGACTGCATGACAACGGGTGTTTTTGAACCCTTGATTTCCAAGATCAAAAGCCTGAAGTTCGCAACCGAAGCTGCGATCACTATTCTTCGTATCGATGACCTCATCAAGTTGAAAGAAGAAGAAAAACCTCCTCACGGATCTGACGATGAATCTTACAACTATTAACTGAGTCCCGTCTTCTCATCCACTGCTGTTGGTTTGTTCGCATTTCACCACTGGAATTAATAAAAGCCGCTTTATCGAATAAACTTCTTTCATCAACGAACGTGGGCGCCATTTCACAAAATCACTTAACCACGTAACCCATTGTGTCGATTTTTCACGAAGTCATTGATGACCAGACAAGCGTGATGATAGTCATGCATATGAGGTTAATTGGTAGTAGGATAAAATAACGTAAAACGAAATACAGTGAGGCGAACTTAACTGAATACCGACAAGTTCACAATGTGCATGAACTAAGAGAGAATATGTAAGGTGGATATCGAACTTGCCTTGAGGGTCAAAGATAGTAAGCCGATGGCTAACACAGAGTACACAACCAAATTGTGCATGCATACTTTGAAGCATTCTGGTCAGATACAAAGTATAAACAAGTACGTCACTGCTATCGGCTCATTGCTTCAGCGTATCTAACCAACCAGTTAGCCTCGGCCCCATCTTAGAAGACGGGCAACAAATTTTGCAGCTCGTACACGTCATTGAGAAATTTGTTTTCCTCTTACAAACCGAAGACTGGCCACATTCCGGATTAGAATAAGCTGTCTTAAGCAAAGCTTCGCATCGACGTTTGGGATGTTTTAGCTCAGTGTACGCTGCTTGAGCTTTGGCTACGCTTCTGATCTCCTTGGTAGGTGTGCCATAGTTTGTCACAACAACCCACATAAAAGATTCAAGTGACCAAAA